TGGAGAAACCAGAAAGAGAAGAGAAAGAACAGAAGAAAAAATGGCTGGGACGTCTCCAGAATGAATGACAAACACCAAACCACAGACCCAGGAAGCTCAGAGATACATACAAAAGCAGTATAAATACAAAAAAGTGCATTCAAACTGCAGAAAATCAGAGAGAGAAACCTTGGGAGAAGCTAGAGGGGAAAAACATCTTCCCTGTAGATGAGGGGATGAGAACTTTACGGAACTTCTCAGAAGCCATACAAGGAAAAAGCAAGCAGAGTGAAATATTTACAGTATCAGAAGAAAAGAACACCAGCCTAAGATCCTGCATCCGGTAAGATTGTCCTTCAAATATGAAGGAGAAATAAAGACATTACCAGACAAACGAAAATGGAGGGGATTTATCACCAGTAGACCTGCCGTGCAAGAAATGTTAAAAGAAGTTCTTCAGAAAGAAGGAAAATGACATGAGAAAAGATGTACGTGTTTGTGCTGGGCCACCGAATACCACAGCCTGCGTGGTCTGTGAAGAAGAGAGATTTATTTCTCACAGTTCTGGGGCTGGAAGCCCGAGATCCAGGTGCCGGCAGGTCCAGTGTCTGCTGGGGGCTGCTCTCTGCTTCCAGGATGGGGCCCTGAGATGCGTCCTCACGTGGCAGAGGCAGAGGGACAAAACCGGAGCAAGTCCCCTCAGTCAGGCACTCTTGTGAGGCACTCACCCATCCGTGTGGGAGGAGCCGTCATAGCCCGATCACCTCTTCAGGGCCACCTCTTCATAGCATCCCATCGGCAACAGCAGGTTATTGAGGGGACACATTCAAACCATAGCAAAAAGGAATATGTGAAGGTAAAACAAAACATTTTTTGTGTTCTTAATTGGTCTAACGGATAGCACTGTGTCAAAATGATAATAGCGACAATGTTTTCAGTAGTAATTTCTTAGGGGTAAGTGCAGTGGATGACAGCCACATGAAACGGGCGGGAGGGAGGAACTGGGCCATCAGTCCTCCCCTTCTCCATGGATTTGCTTCCCACGGTTTCAGTTGCCATGTCAACCACAGTCCAAAAACAGAGGACAGCCGTCCAAGATATTTCAAGACCTTTGTGACTATATGTTCTTACAGTCGTTCTATGTTATTATTAGTTTATGTTATCTCTTGCCGTGCCTACTTTATAAGCTAAACTTTGTCATAGGTTTGTACGTATAGGAAAGACAAAGTGTGTATAGAGATCAGTATTGTCTGTGGTCTCGGGCGTCCCCTGGGGCTTGGAATGTGACCCTGTGGGTAAGGGGGACAGCTGCGCTAAGGGACCTGCACTACAACGTGTAGTGTGGTTTAGAAGTGAACTTAGATGAATTGTAAATGTATACTGCATCCTCTACAGCAACCACCAGATAACTTTTTTAAAGAACTATAATTGATATTCTGAGAGAGGAGGGAAAATGGAATCATATAAAACACTCAATTAGGGGCCGGCCCGGTGGCGCACTGGATAGTGCGCCACTTAGGAAGCGCGGCGGCGCTCCCGCCCGAGGGTTTGGATCCCACGTGCAGACCGGTTCCCGCTCACTGGCTGAGCAAGGCACGGGAGAAACGCCGAGGGTTGCGATCCCGTTGCCGGTCCCCGGTCCGGTACGGGGGCAACACTGAGGGTTGCGATCCGTTGCCGGACACGGAAAAAGACAAAA